TTTTTGGGGTTTTACGAAATTTGCCCCTTAATTTATTATGACCACTTTTTGAAGAAAAATAAATTTTAAAACCCAATTTGGCCCTTTCCCTTCCCATTTTGCCCCTCACACTATGTGTATAAAACCCCCACCATATCCTATCTTCCTCTTCCCTCTAACTAGGGGTCTAGGGTTTATACACATAAATACATAATTAGTTAATTGTGTGTGTGTGTGTGTATATCAACATGCTGAAGCAAGACTCTCTTCTTTTTAAAAGGGGTTATGGGGTTTTAATTATTAATTGTTAATGATAAAGAGACCTGTTATTTAGTGTAATTCATATGGAAACTTGTATTACTGTATTGTAAAAAGAGATGTTTTTTACTAAGACTATTAATTAGCCTCTGAAGATGCTTTTGGGATTGGACTGTTTGTTTGGGTGGAATAAAATTACGGTAAAACACAAGGGGCTGATGTAAAATGGCCATATTCAAATAAGGATATTATAGTATTTTACAGCGAACAGGTCCTTTTTTGCACTTAACCCATATATTTATCAATCACAATGCATCTTTAAAAGATTATTTCGTTTCTCTTTAATTTGTTCTTGCGTTTCTTTCCCTTTTCCATTTCTTTCCTTAGTTTGTCTTAGGTTTCTATCTCTTCTTCTCCTATTTTCCCTCCTAAAAATTTACTTTTAAATTACACTTGCTTTCAAATTACAAGTCATATCATTCATGATATTTATCATGATATTTGAACGGTTATTACGTATAGTATAATAGTACAAGAGAGAGTTTATATAGAAGCGATCACATGAATAGATGAGGGAGAACAAATAAACCTTATACGTAAAAATGTTAAACGTTATAAAGGACCTGAATAATACAAAATGGGACATGTTGAGGAAATTATATTATGGACAAGGAAGACCTGGTTTGGTTGGATAACGTAATGACAATTTTTGGAATTGAATGTTATTTGGGTTGTGTTTGATGGTTCCATAGTCTCTACTTTGGAAATAAATAAATAAATAATAGATTATACTTATAAGTTTGAGCTGACATAAATATCCTCTCTTCCAATTTCAGAGCATGTATTTTCATGTAAAACTAGTTTATATAATCACAAGCATACAATAGTACAAAGGGTTTTTTTTTTTTTTTCGTCAACGATAATGGTGTCAGGTCTCTTCAAACGCTTCATAATTCACTATCAGACATTTGTAATTCTTTCACTATACATGTACCGAGTAATTAATTATTGTAAAAATTCTTTGAAATTAGCCCTAATGAAAAAATTATGTAGAGTTCATTTTTCTAAAAAGATGGTTGAGGGTTCAAATGCCAAGTGAATACTATATCAATTAAAAAATTGACCAAAACCTCTCGAATTTCAGTTTCAAGAGAGAAATTTCACTCTATCAAGTGCATAATCAATGAAATTGAAGTTTGGAGTTCACAAATAACATACACTTATTAGTCAAAATCAATATGGCCCAAGCTCGACCAATAATCACAAGCATATATAACAATGAAGCTGTTTTTGCCAAATCAAAATCTATCTTCTTTAGAATTCGACACCCCTTTTCTTCCCATGCAAATTAGTGTGTTAAAGCTTATTAGATTCATATTACTTTAGATTTTCCAAGTGAAATCCTTTGATTAATGAGGTTAAGAAACGAGTTTTGAGTACCCTCTACTAAATAAAATTGATCCAAAGCATGACATTTATCAATTACTGGAGGCATACTTTTTCCTAACCCCAGAAAGTGGCTATATATTTTTACATCTTTTTACCCTATACATCACCTTTTTTTGATGAAAAATGTAATTTTGTCAATTCACAATTCAAAACTTCACAAGTCCTTGTCAATACTTTCACTAGGGATATATGAATTATCTATGGATGTATGCATGTTTATATATGGTCTACTTCTTCAAATCCACCGTGTAATGCATGCAGTTATTGATTGATAGAAATATCATGGTATCCATTTTCGTGTACTAGCTAAAGCGTTACGTATGTCTGGTGGAGACCATATATACACATACACATAATCAATGAGGCATAAATAGCAGAAAATGAAATAACTCACACAGCGCTGAGAGGTTGTTGAGGCCCCATCCAAATCCATTTAATAATTTTCTTCCTACATAATGGGGAGACTGACATTCCAACAAATGCTTTCCCTTTTAGTAATTTCTACCTATAATTCCACCTCCATATTACTCAAACAATGGTACAAATTTTAAGACTTTTAGCCCAGTTTGGTTGGAAAGGAATGGAAGAAAAAAAGAAAAGGAGGAATATAGTTTTTTTGTGCTTAGTATACAATTTTGGAAGGAAAAGAAAGGGAATGGAAGGATTTGGAGAGATATATTAAAGCTTGATGAGTTGGTTTTGTTATCCTCCAAAAAAATGGGAGGAAATCGAGTAACACTGTCCTCTCATTTCCTTGCCTTTCCTTTCTTTTCTTTCGTAACTAATGTTTTCCTTTTATTTCTTTTCCACGGTACCAAACATAACCTTGTACAGTTTTCACCATACATATTGATCAGCAAGGCAATAAGTTAAATTCACAGCTGCCATCACATGAATTCTGATCCCATTAATGGCCTTTATTGTGGTTATTGGCTCCCATCATCCCTGCATTTCCTTCTATCACCTGTTTTTGTCTAGGGACATAATGGTCCACATGACAACCCAATGCCATGTTATGTATGTGGTCTTATCCCTACTGTTCAGGGTATTTGTCCACCTTTATTTATAACATTCAATTGTTGCATCCATGCACACACACTCATATGTGTTGTGAAGAAGCCTCACTGATTTAGCATTTCTTGCAGAAGAAATGGAGGAGGTTGCTCTAGGAGGACTCAATGAGAAGCAGAAGAAGAAAAATCCAAGAAACTGGAGTGCTAGGATTAGTAGTTTTTCGGCCAAATTACCGGATGATGTTTGTGGGGTTTTTGCTGATAGTGTCTGTGTAGTTCAGTACTCCACGGATCCATTCTCGGATATTAGAGAATCAATACTAGATATGATCTGCAAGGTGGGAGTTCGCGATTGGAATGAAATGGAGGAGCTGGTTTACTGCTACATTGTGCTCAATTCGTCGGAGGTTCATGAGTGCATTGAGAATGCTTTTCTCAGTTTGTGCTGTTCTCTTGAAGAGATGTGAGTTTTAAGTATTTCTTGGAAGAATCAATAAGTTAATTGTCTTGTAATCAGCTATTATTGTTGTGTGTTTAGACCTCTTTTCAGAGTTCTATTTTCATTTCCACATTACTTCTTTAACCCTCATGTAGTTTAGTGTATGTGAAACAATGTCATAAACAATTCTATTCCTCCAATCTTAGACATGTAGATTCATTAGATTAACACCCTTTTGTAAATTTTGTCAAAAATCTGAATTTCTATCAAGCACAATGAACAAAGTTCAAATGAACAGCTTTGGAAGCTCCTAACCCTAATGGTTTTGTGCTCTTCATCTATACCTTTTTGCAAATGTCTCACTGCTATGCCCTACTAAACTCACATGGATTGTTGGTCAGAGTAGTATCCTAAATTCTTGGATACTTCACACTAATTCCTTACTTCTTGTTTATAATTCAAGAGTTTTTTTTTTTTTTTTTTACATGACGATAGTGGTGTCAAGCCTTTTAGAGAACCCCATAATTCACCACTAGGCATATGCAGTCCCCCGTCCCACATGCACCGGACAATTACCGGAATTTTTTTCCGGGAGTGGCCCAAAGGGATTTGAACTCCCATCTTCCAACATGTGAACCTTGCAAAAGTGTGGGAATTTACCCAAATAGACTTCAATCATAAGCCTACTAAACTCACATGGATTGTAGGTCAGAGTAGTATCCTAAATTATTGGATACTTCACACTGATTCCTTACTTCTTGTTTATAATTCAAGAGTTATTTTTTATGACGATAGTGGTGTCAAGCCTCTTAAAGAACCCCTTAATCCACCATTGGACATATGCAGTCCTCCGTCCTACATGCACCGGGCAATTATCGGAAAATTTTCTTGGGGGTGGCCCAAGGGGATTCGATGTGAACCTTAGAAAAGTGTGGGGATCATCTAATGAGTCCTCCTCCTAACATACAGGCGCCACATCTCATCTAACCTAATTTAGTTCTTGACCTAGGTGGAGGTGACAAAAGGACAAAAGATTACCATAGACACCAACATGCCCTACAAATCATCATTAATGGAGAAAGTGAAAGATATATTAGTTTTTATGCCATTACATTCTGAACAACTTGGCAGTAGGCAGTTGAAATTAAACATAACTGGTCCCTGAAACCTAAAAACATAAAAGATGACAGACAGAAATAAACTTAAAATTTCAGATCCGCTCTATTGCCTAAGTAACTATTGCTTCAAGGGTTTACAAGTCATTTAGCTAAATATATAGTTCATTAGCTTAGCTCTACACTTGGCTTATATTTTAGCTTCAGTGTAGGTACTGCCAAGACAGAGAGGGCATGGTTTTTTATCATACAATATCAGAAATATAAAATGCCAGATATATCAGAGTTTAATCAACAATGAAAATGATGACAATCAGAAATTTAATCTTAGACTGTAATCGTATCCAAAAGTATAAGCTATTAAGGAATGAGTCCAACAACGTATGTAAATCATTAACGGTAACATTTTGCAAGGATTGAACATTGGAGAAAGGGAAGCAAACAGATCGATGAACTACTTGTCAAATGGCCATGCGATACAACCGGGCTACTTGTTGATTCGAAAAAGATGAAGTATTAAAATCACCTTCATGTGTGTTATTGTACTAAGTTGGATCCATCAAACCCTAATTCTTTTATATCTTCTCTATAAACTTGTATTCGAATTATTTCCATGGAATAGTTTCTAATCTATAGAGTTTGAATTTTGTAAAATGAGAATTATAACTTCCATGTTCTAAATTAAAAGAACATATATGGAATCAATTTCCCAAAAAAGAACTCTTAAAATAAGTTAATGAACCATCACTTCCCTTTTCATTTCCAAATTGAAGAACCATACACTTCTCTCACATTTTCTTTTCATTTTCGATACAAAAGGACACTGCCAGCAAAATACATACAGGATGCAAATTGATACGACATTAGATGATCATCAGCATTTCGTTAGACAGTCATGTAGTATTACAATTACAAAATTTAGAAAAGAAAGAAAACTAGTCCATATTATGTACTAGAAACCGATAACTCAATACTTAAAGAGATTAAGATTTCTACGAACAATCTCAATCTATCTTTCTTGAGTGATGGTCTCGGATACCTTTATTCCTTCTATATTTCCCGCGCTTCATTTTCATTCTTATCAGCAATGGTGGCGGTGTCAGTAATAGGTGAAGCAGTCGGCATTACTATGGCTGTAAACTGCGTCCCTGCAGATTCAGAATCCGGTATTGCTGCTTCTCCATCAACTGCTTTAGGTGGAGGCTTGCTTTTCAACTCATTGCTCTTTGCCCACAAGAACAAATACAACCCTACTACGATCAAAAGCATTCCAAGCAGGCTGCAATATAATTTACAGTATAGTTTGTGCAATGTGAGTCTGAACAATTTAATACACAACAATATGTAATGCACTTAAGTAAGGTCACATTTCATGCTAATTTTATTCATAAATGTACCTTCCAACAGTGATGTCCTGACCCATAAAGAGAGTCTCTATGATGGCCACAAAAATTAGGGACAAAGGGTTGAACATTGAGGGATAGGTTGGACCTCTGTTTGCAATTGCCCATGAAAGTAAGCAGAAAGTTAATGCTGTAGCCAATACTCCCTACATGTTAAACATAAACTGCAGGTCATATATTGGGATAATTAGACTTTCCTCTGTGTGTGTGTGTGTGTGTTTATTTCCAGCCTTCCTTGTAATCATATGAACATACATTCCCAAACCTGCCCCTAACTCTATTTGAATGATCTTAAACCCGTCCCAATAGGAGCTGGGCGGAGCAGGTTAAATTGACATCCCTAGTTCAAACCACTCCAAACTAAGCTAAAAAATAAATGAGCCCAATTAGTCTCAAATTTGAGTTGATTAGTTCCATTTGTAGCCCTAACAAATAATATGATAAATGAAATTAGAGACGTTCTTTCTTAGATAGCAAACATTTCATGCTCAGGTTGCTAAGCTTAGCCCTAACAAAACATGATAAATGTTTCATTTAATGCCCAATTTTTTAGCTCAAATTTAAAACCCAATCTGCACTAAGCTAGCTAAAAAATGACAGGGATAACTAAACTAATAAGATGATAAATGAAACTAGCAAGAGAGATGCTCATAGCAAACATACTTGGCACGATAAAATAGTTAATATTAGTTTGGCATAAATGATTTGCTGAAATATTTTTCATGAACTAAACTTCACTGTTTTTTTCTTTTCTTTTTTAATTAAGTTAATACTCACACAAACAAATATCATTATGGGACTCGAACCTCTCACACCACCCCCTTCATAGAAAAAGAGGTTATACCACCTGAACTAATGATGATAAGTGACAACTAAATCTCGCTCTTAAATAAACCAATGTTACTATACTTCTCGAACTTTTAAGGAGAGATTATATCAGCTGAACTAATTGTACCACTTTTAAGGAGAGATTATATCAGCTGAACTAATTGTACCATAACTAAACTATCCCTTAAGCAACGAAAATGTAAGATGAAAGTAACATAAAATTCTTACCGAGTAGAAGATGGTAATTAGTTGCAGGTTCCATCCCAACTTCCATGCAGCCTCCTTTCTATCTAAGCATAACCCTATCACCACTGATTGAATTGATGCTATGATGCATGTAAACAGTGTTGCCCAATATTTATATGGAAATACTTTGAACAACTTTACCTTTTAGAGGGAAAAAAAAGAAAAGAAAAGAAAAGAAAATTCAATCAATTAAAAACATAATATAATATAAAAAAATATATATGAGATTGAATTTTGTGTTGATCTAACAATACTACCCATAGGATGCATGGGTTGCATACCTGGACGATGAACCATGTAGCATAGGATAAAACACTAGCTACCAAAAAGAGAGTGCCACGTGTCCAGTTGGGCTTAGTTGTCCTGGTGATGAGGTGTTGATGAACACCATGATGACCAATGTGGAATGTTTTACCCTTGTAGAGACTAATAATTAGTGCTCCTCCAAGGCACAAGATTGCCCCTAGAGTCTTCACTTTACCAGCTCTTCTATGCAGTCCCAATTTCTCAACTCTACAACCCATCCAAAAAAAAACCTCTTTCAACATAGTGTGTGTATATATATAAACTAAAAAGTGAATTGATGTGGGCAGACACAGGAGTAGGCAAAGGTGGGCTGTAGCCTACCCCAAAAAAAAAATTTTTTTTACTATACTAATATATTATTGGTTGCAGCTGGCTCTCTCTACAAGTCAAATTTATTTATTTTTTTTTAATAAAAAGACATTCTTCAAATATCTTCTATTCCGACTTAACGGTATAATTTTTTATTTTAAGTACAGTCTTGTATCACTTTAAGAGGTCGTTCAATCCTTAAATTTAAATCTATAATCTTAAGAATTAAAAAAGACAAAAACATAGTTCTGAAGCTGCAACTCTATTTAATGAAGAGCGAAGTTTCGAGACTGCAACTCTATTTAATACAGAGGTGCTCCTAGCTAAATATTTATATTAGAAAGTTTTTATTCTTTATAATAATCGACAATAGATCACAGTCGATGTTGATTTTTTTCACAACAAATAGCGTTGCTATATTTTTAGTAGTTGATGTTAGAATTGAGATTAGATGTTTGGAAGTTAATACATATTTGCATCCAAATATACATGGTAATTAAATTTATTATGAATCGTACCCAATTATAGTGGAGAAGACAAAGGTGGCAACTGGGATCAAATTAAGGAAGTTTACAGCATATGTAGCTGTGGTGTCTTTTAGACCATAATAAAACAATCCCATAGCCATCTGTACCCTACACATGAATAATACAACAAGGTAAGTAATCAATGAATAAAATTGGACTTAAAAAACAAAAAAAGCATGGTTGGCAAAAATATCATCCAAATAAATACCAAAAATAAACATGACAAAAAAACAGTTGCTATCAAGATACCTTTTTATTTTAGGTCACTACCCTTAACCATAGTTCTTTATATACGCAACCCTAGCTCTAGGGTACCCTTCAAAAAAAAGAAAAAAAAAAACCTAGCTGTAGGGCAATAGTGCTGACCAAATCATATGTTATGCCTCCCAAACAAGATATACAACTTGCATCAATTGAGCTGTAGTAACAAAGTACTAGTGTTTGGACCATACAAATGGTTTGGTTATTTTAGAATAAATCCTCTTCCACTACTTTTTGGTGGCAAGACACGTCTAGTTTGGACCATACAAATGGTTTGGTTATTTTAGAATAAATCCTCTTCCACTGCTTTTTGGTGACAAGACATGTCTAGACATGGTTGTACATTAAAAGGAGTTGGCCTAGTTGAAAAAGACTTAAATCTTGGTGTCTTATGAATCATCAGGTCTCAGGATCAATTCTTCCAGAATATAGTCCGAACTTTACTCGATCCATATGGGGGTGCCTTGCACGAGTTCCGTAGATTAATTAGGGCAAAAACTCCGTACATCCTAATTATTGAAGAAAAAAAAAAAAAAAATCTAGCATATGCAATATTAAAGTTTTAAAGATTATGGATGGTTTCCCCTTTATATAATAATGACATCAACCAAATCATATGTTATGCCTCCACCCAAACAAGATAAATGATAACACAATAAGCCAAATCATTGCATCAATTGAGTTGTAAGTGATAGCTAGGTATAAGTATTATTTGGATCATATAAATGTTTCGGTTCTATTAGCGTTAACCCTTGTCCATCACTTGTTTTTTTTACCATGGGTCCCACTTGCACATGAATGAATATTATAACTAACTGTCTAATTTCGACGAACATTGAAGAATAAGTTGCTAATCCAAAAACCTAATTAACCCTTCTTTGGTGAAAAAAGTAGTTAGCTCTCATTTCCCTTCTAAATTTTTTTTAGTAAAGGAGGGTCTTTTTTTTTTTTTTTTTTTTTTGGGTAATTGCTTTAGTGAAGGAGGTTTTATTTGTAATTGCACATATATAGCAGTATTCATTTTTTCTTTTTTCTTTTTTTTTATAAGGATAGCAGTTACAATCTAAACGACAAGGGAAATACATTTTTTTTTTTTTAAAATAATTTTTAACTCTATAGTGTGGCAGTGGTCACCAACCTAATTTTTCAGTAAACAACAAACAATAGCCATTGGACCGATTTTATATTAGTAAGATATGATGTTCCAGGAAAAAAAATATATATATGATGTCATTATTACGTTAAGAAAATTAATGATATGAGAAAAAAAGAGGTGTAACAAATTTTCATTGAGCATATTTTTAATAAATACTTTTAAGGCATAATATAAGAGTAAAAAAATTGGAGAGAACAACAGTTGTCCAACAAATGAGACTATCAAAGTACGTGTCAATATCAATATCAATATATATATATATATATATATACATTTTCTCTTTAATTCATAAAATAAAATAAAAATTAATTAATTAATTAATATATATATAAAATAGTAGTTATATCATATATGTTGTTGCAAGAATTTAAATAATTAACAATTTAGTCATTAAAATTCTTGCAATATATATATATATATATAAATATAACCCTTTCACTTACCCAAAAAAACAAAATATAACCCTTTCAACCAAGTCCTAGGTTTTTTATTGTACAACCCATCACAGACGATAAAACCCCATAAGAAGTTGTAACAAACTAGCATTAGCTTACCCGGTTAATGCGTTCATGAAGAGCCAGAACAGAACTGACCACCTCATCTCCTTTGCTTTCCCTCTGAAAATAGAACACCACGCATATTGTTTAGTCCTACATTTCCTGTATATATATATATATATATATATATATATAGACACACACATACTTGTTGAACGTTCCCATTCTATCGGGAAATATTGTGTGTGTGGGCGTTTGTTTTAACTTTCGAGATAAGTATATATTCTCGAAAGTCAAAAGAGTCATTTTGTAATGATAAATCCAACGGAGTAACCCATATATATATATATAGATTATTATAAATACAGAGAAATTTTATAAAGCAAACCTTTCCCATAACAAGGCGAAAGGGGCAACAGATACAGCACCAACAACGTTACGATAGGCCATGAGGGCGAAGACGAAAGTCCCTTCACTCAAGATGATCCGAGACAGAAGCTGCAGACCGGTCGCGAAGAGCTGAACCGCAAGCATGCTCACCAATGCTCGTGAGTCCCAAAACCATTTCTTCACTCCACCCATCTCTCCCCAGCTTAATTTCTCTCTCTAAAAATATGTAGACAGTCTTGTCTCTCTCTATAACTATATAGATGAAGTTTGTAGAGAGAGAAGGAAAAAAAAAAAAAAAAAACAGAAGGAGAGAGAGAATTGTGGTTAACTAGCTGATTTGGTAGCATTGCATGATCTCCACGTAAGTTTGAGATATAGATATACAGAGGTAAGTGGACTCGTGGGCTTTGAGAAGAGAGAGAAGAACAGAGATGGTTAGCTACAAAGTGATTATTTGTTCTTGTTTTGTAGCTCTGTTTGGTAAATACCACAAACACGCCCTAATGGGCTTCTAAGCACATTAACTAAATCGAAATAATTGCTACGTACCAACCTCTATAGATTAGTGTGATACGTTTTTCCCGGGAATAAAAGTGAGAATAAATTGCGAATTTGGTAAAACAAAAACAAAAGTGATGACTGATGAGTATGACCCCACGTGACTATCTACGCGGTCAAAGCTCTATATCCTGGCCCACAATTGTGGGTGTGGGGCCACCACTAGGTAGTTTACATGCGGCAAAGTTTTGAATTTTTTGTTTTAAGGGTAAAATTTCTTAACCGAATACTTTTATTTCGTCAACATATGTCAAATATACGAAAGTGGGCTCTTCATTTTCTTATCTTTGCATTAATGATCAATCAATGTATTCTGTTAAAATAATTTGCCTAAGTCTTCCTTCCAAATATCACTACTTCTAATAAATAATTGGCTTATGTCCGAGCCTCCTCATTTATTAACTTAAGGGCAAAATACAAATTTAATAAATAAAAAATTTGACATAATGGATAATTAAATTAATGAAAATGCGACTAACTTTGGGATAATACAATTTAAAAAAAATACTTACTGCCAAATTCAATATTCATATATTTTTTTTAAAAAAAAATAAGAAGGATCAAAGTTAGATTAGTAGATACAACGAGTCGAAATTTGATATTCCAAAATTCACCGAAAACGTTAACCCACTGGACTATCAAGGTAGTTACAATTCAATATTCATAGTGGATTGATATTAAAATAAAAGAAATGTTCATAATAATACAAACGTTCATAGTAACTAAGTTAAAATATATCACCAAATAATCAGATTGACCCGACACACGAAAACAATACGATTAATTAAATGGATTAAAGAGATTGAGTTCACCCGGAGCTTAAGAATACAAGTTCGGAATGTAATTTACTACCGTAAGCATCAGGGGTGGAGCCATAATTTAAATTTAGAGGGGGTACAGTACCAAAAGAAAAAAAAAATGAAGAAATTTAAGAAGTCGGAAAAAAAAAAAAAAAATGAGAAAAGAAAAATGACAGAATTTTGAAAAAAATTAATTAGAGTATAATTGAATAAGGAAACTTTGACTTTTTTTTAAAGAAAATTAAAGAAATTGAAAGAGTAAATGAAAAAAAAAAAAAAAGGAAAAAGTTACGAGAATTTTGGGAATTTAATATTTTTAGGGGGTGCATAATATATAAATTTATATATATATATATATATATGTAAAATATAATTTAAAAATTCATATATATTGTATATAAGGCGGGGCTAGGGCAAGGGCAGGGACACGTGCCCCCTACGCATATGCTGGCTACACACCTGGTAAGCACAGGCCATGCAGTTGTCATGGAGGTTTTGTTTTCCTTGTTTGGTGGACATCACTGACCCTTTTACCTTGTAAGTATTTCCAAAGACCCTCTTGCCCATAATAAGTTAATTATCATAACACTAGGAATCAGGGACAGAATCGTAACTTTATACAAAAGCTGAGTGCCTTGTACTTTTAGTCTGTGTTTTCGGATTAGAATGGATAAAAGCAACTAAGTCCAATGCCGTCTGGTACAACCTGTTGGAAAGGTCATGGGCAGTCTTCCTATATTTAGATGCCCATCTCTATTTTTAAACTAAGATGGTATATAAGTGTGACACAAGTAATGTTTGGCAAATTATGAATTCTATTGATTAAAAAGCAAGTGAAGTCTAGTCCAATAGGCATCGATAAGTCTCACTTCTAATCATTTGATGTTACCATATACTAGTAAATTACAATCATTAAAAAAATAAAAAATAAAAAATAAAAATAGTGATACCGTAACCCTTTACATTTATCTCTTAAGGGATATAAGATTAAATTGGATGAAGCTATTAACGATTGAAGTGAAACAATTAAGATCATTGGTGACTTGTTTCACTTCGATAAATAGGCATAATTAATAGCCTTATAAATCATTTTTCAATACATTAATTCTCTTGTATACTCCCTTTGCATGTCCCAAAAAAAATGTCTATTTTTTCTTTTTGAGTTGCCCCAAAATAAATGTCCACTTTTCTTTTCCAAACAATATATTTTAGTACATCTTTTCATATATATTCTTGAAGTTTAAAATTTCAAATTTAAATATTCAAAATTTAAAGGGCACGTTAGTAACTTTTCAAGGAACAATACATTGTCCACATGCCCTCTTAAAAATTTCTACTCTTCAAACCAAACATTCCTTTTGTGACGCGGAGTATTAATTAAGAACATCTCCAACCGTTGTGTATTTTTTTTTCTTTCCTATTTTGAATTATTTATTTTTAACTCCAATAATTATTTTATACCTTTTGTGTAAAAATATATCCCCAATAACAACCAACCAATACCCCACATAACTTTTACAAACCTACCTAATATAGGGTTGATTCTTTAATGGAATGAGAGAGGAGGAGAAGAAAGGAAATAAACTGATGTGACTGTGTAAAAAAGTTGTGTAAAATACACAACAATTTTATACATTGGTGATGTAGCAGTGTATCTTAACTGAAGATAAAAAAATAAAAAAATAAAAATTACACATCATACATTACAGTATATATTTTACATAAAATGATATTTTAACATACAGTTGGAGATGCTCTAAGGTCATGGGTGGCCAATAACCTTAATTGTCTATAAATAGGCTTAATTAATAGGCCTATAAATTATTTCTTAATATTTTTGATATATTAATATCATTAATTAATTAAATATTAACACATAATAATAAGATTCACTAAATAAATGCATTTTATTGTTTTTATCTGACAAGATATAATTAGTTGGCACTGATGATCATGTTGTGAATTCTTAAAGTGGAGATGTGTAAGAGTAATGGATAAGTTTCAACTCTAATCATTTAATTCTGCCATCCAACTACTAACCAAATTAAAACACTCTGAAACCTTATTACAATTTATTGGAACTCTAATATATTTATTTATAGGTCTCCATTTAATTCAGTCAATGTGATAAGGATGAGATTATGAGAATCCAAGCACTAAAAAGTTTCATCTAATAAATTAGAAAAACGGTTCAAAATAAAGTCTTATCTTTCATTTAATATAAAATATCAAAAAAAAAAAAAAAAAGCAGCAGTGACATTTGGGTCGAGTTAGACAGCATAGTTGGATCGAATATATTTAATTGGTTGATAATGCAAGATATAAGTAAGTGAAGGATTTCATTTTTTTTATATTTGACATATATTGATCAATTAAAAGGTCTAAGAATTCTGGCTAACAACTCGGCTTTAAAATCATTTTTAAAAAACTATTACTATTAAGAGTTAAAAGATTAAGAAATGTGATTGTCCTAAATAGAGTCTAGTAATAGTTGAAGTATCACTCTTAAGAGAGCTCTCATGACAAGAGAGATGAGCGCTCTATAGATTTAACCATTAAATCTAGGAAGGTTTTTAAAATTTGTGAAAAATTAAATAAATTATTTACTTTATAATTATTTTAGGAACGTTACACAAATTTTTAAACCCACTACTAACAAATTAATCCTATCACTCAACTTCTCATTAAAAAGTTTCAACTCAAATACTTGAATTCTACCATTCAACTACTTAACAAATTAAAACGTTTTAAAATAGTATTAAAATTTCTTCGAACTCAAATATATATGTGACGACCCTGAATTTTTTAATTCAGTATGTCTTGTGACGACTCAAAACGGATTAAAAAAAAAAATGCGAAAACAAAACATAAACAAATCCTTAGAGATGTACATCATCCCTAAGACACAATAATGGTACTTCGAGGAGTTTCGAGGCTCAACAGAAGCAAAACGAAGATAAAGGTATCAAAACCTTACAAAAGAAGGACCAAGTATAAAATGGTCATTTTATCCAAAGAGGAAGGAATTTGACTTCCAACAAGTCAAATGATATCAAAAATATCCAAAAACATCATTTGGTAACTTCACATGAAATCCTAAGACCAAAGGAAGAGAAATCCTAAATGAACCCTATCTCGGTTCAAACTAAATCTGACACCCTCTCACTAAAATAAGGATATCTCGAGTTAAAAGAAGAATCTGAAACTAAAATTGGTACCATTGGAAAGATTACTTCGACGCGGTAAAAAATGGACCAATTCGGAGTTGAAACGAAAAAGTTACGACATTTCAAAGTTGGAAGACCAAAACTGAACCTGCAAAAAGGTTCTGGAGGACTTGAATCGGTTCAGCACCCCTGAACCAGTTCAACATGGACAAAATGTCCATGTTGGACCCAAAGCACACCTTGAACAGGTTCAGCCCCTGTGAACCGGTTCAACCCAACCTCAATTGAACCAAACAGTAGAAAAAGCAGAAAAATGGGATCGACGCGAGGTTTTGGAGACCAAGACGACATTTTTCGGAAAAATGATGTGAAGAAACTCCCACTAAAATCACATTTTCTATGTGATAGAGTCTAGACCGGAATTTATTTTCCAAAAGAAAATCTCAAAATGCCCTTAAACCGGATTCTGCAAGAAAATTGTAAAATGAGTCCATAGAAGGCATATTACCTATTTATCTATTTATTATGAGTTTTTTTAATAAAAAAATATAATTAAACAAGAATATATTTTAAAAAAATAAAAAATTTCTGAAAATCTACCACAAATATACTGTATTATTCTTTATAAAACTCTATCACATTATCTATTTATTATGAGTTTTTTAATAAAATAAAATATAATTAGACAAGAATATATTTAAACAAAATAAAATAATTTCTATAAACCTCTAGCACAAATTAGCTATTTTATTTTTTATAAAACTCTATCACATATAAACTGTATTTATCTATTTATTATGAATATTTTTACAGAAATATATAAAACTATTTATTAATTAATATAAAAAGAGTTTTTAAAAGATTTTCTATAAAACTGTAAC